GCCCTGCCTGGGCTGTCACTGCCTGCCCACGGGCACAGCCCTGCTGCTTTTACCCTCCTCAGGACCCAACTTGCCTCTTGTGCTGGGAGCTGAAGCTCAGAGGCTTGTGTGGAGCTGGTGCTGGGTGTGGGAGCTGAGCCCTGGGCTCTGCCTCTGAAAGAGGCTGGGAGCAGCAGAGCTGGCTGAAGTCCTGCGATGTGCTCAGCATCCTGCCATGTTCCTCGTGCCCTTCGCAGGTAAAGCTGTGGGTGCTTTGGCTGCTTGTGCTGAAAGGGAGGCTCTCCCCTAGTGTCTCGGTGGTGTTAGCAGCCAGAGTCATGCGTGGCTGGCAGAGCTGGCTGTTGGAAGCCTGCTGCTCTCACCAGTGTGCCCAGGCAGTCTCTGGATCAACCTGGTGGTGACAGAGCTCCGACCATGGCACTTCAGCCAGGAGTGCAGTAGGACAGTGCACCAGCCCAGCAGTAGCTTTTGTACCTAGGAAGTAGGCTGGGGAAGCCTAGAAATGTAACCTCAGCACCTTGGAATCCTCTCTGCTTGCCCTTCCTGCTGTTTTCTCCGTGTTTTCTAACCAGATTCTGTGCTTTGGTTTCTTCTGAAGGGTGTTTCTTCAGAGCTGGAAGCAAGAAGTGTGTAATCAGGTGGCAGAATGTGTCCTGGTCTCCTGTTTATTTCTAAATTGCATTTCTAAGCATGCAGCAAAGGCAAAGGGACCCCTGTTCAGGCTGAGCAATTCTTATTTCATGTATTTGCCAATGTTGGCAGAAGGTAAATCCATATTTATAGCAAAGCCTGTGTCAGCCCATATCTGAAGTTCCTCTTGATGCTGGGTAAGAGAGAAGCTTGATGAGTGGGCAGAATCTATGTGGGCTTTTTAAGTACCATTACCATTAAAATTAGGTATGTGAAAGTGTCAGAGTGCCTGTTACTAAGTTTGTTGGTTTTTTCCCCTCTGAGTTACTGGGGAGAGTTCTCTGTTCCTGTTTTATTAACTAGCTGGATGTCAAGAAAAGTGAGTGTCTAACCAGCAGCAGAGCAGGGCTGGTGTCCGTGTGTGGTTCCCCCCTCTGGCCCTGGGGGAGCTGGTCTGGGTGCCCCCAGAGCAGTGCCAGGCTCGTGGGCAGAGCTCCTGGGTCCTTTGGTGGAGCATTGGTGCACCCAGCAGGGAAGAGTGTGTCAGAGTGTGGATGTTGGTGCCATTCCTGGGTGATGGTGGGAACCTTGCAGGAAGGCTCCTGGGGTCTTGCTTCTAAAAATTCACTCTTCTGAAAACCCCTGGAGATACCTACTGGTGTGTGTACAGGGGAAGGGCACACTAACCCCATGTGGCTCTGTAGAAGTGCTGACACTCCTCTCATACTCACTGAAAACCCCACATTTTCTCCTCTTCCCCCCCTTGTTCTCTGCCCAGCACTTAACTGGAATCTGCTGATTCCTGCCTGCCCTGGCTGGCTCCCCACAGAGCCCCAGTAAAGCTGAGTAACACCCCAGGCTTGCTCCTGGGCTGGTGGTTCCTTCCTGAGCCCAAAATAGCCAAGGATGCTTCGTTAAGGTCAGCGTGAAGGAAAAGTGCTTGTGTCTCACAGTCTTGCTGTCTGATCCTGCCAGCTTTCATCCTCCTCTGCACCCAGGAGAGCAACTTTCCTGCAGCTCCAGCTTTTTTCTGTGTGTATTCTTGGTGTCTGGTGGGATGTGGTTGGAACTCGAGCTGAACAGCAGTTGGCAGAAATGGTGGCAGAGGTCCTGGTCGTGAAGGTGGCTCCTTTCTGTGGCACTTACCCCTTGGAGGGACATCTGGCATAACCAGGAGTTTCTTATTCCAAAGCACATTAGAAATCTCTCTGACTTGGCTTAGTTCTTGGAGCAAGCTCTGTTCTGCAGGAGAGCAGCAGGCAAGGTGTCCACTTCTTGTGCTTGAAACCATGAGCTGGAGCGGGGCTGCTGGTGCTGGTACCTTTGTCACACACTGTGTGGTCACCTTTGGGCATTAATCTGACACCATCAGTTTGTACCAGCACAAAAAACGTTGCTGCATTCACGTCTGGGGATCATGTGCTGCCTCTGCTGGATCTGGTTACCTTCAATGGACAGCCTGTAAATAATCAACTTTTGGGAAGTGGGATAGTCATGAAGGGGCTGGAGCAAGACCACAGCCAGTTCTCCCAGCAGTGTCTCTGGTTGTCTTTAAGGTGCTTTTACTGGGTTTTGTCCACATCTCTGTTTGTTGGTGGGACAGCAATGCTCTTTGCAAGGAAAACACAGGGGTATGCCCAAGGTTTTGGTGACTGGCTTAAGGTTGTCCGTGTTTAGGTGATCTTGAAGATTCCTGGGCCTGCAAAATGCCCTTTGGAGGAGCAGCCAGCCAGCCCTTTGTGTCAGGGTGGGACACCAGTGCCCGAGGGGTGGGTGTTTTGGGGTGGTGTGTGTTCCTGTGCTGGTGGTGTCAATGCTGAGGGTCTCCCCCACGTGTCCTCTCACCATGTCAGGCCTGGCAGCACCAGTGTCCTTCCCTCTGCTGGTCTGTGTCCTTCCCCCTGCCTGAGCGTGGAAAACACATTTTCACCTTTAATGTTGACTTTTCCATCAGCTGGGTAATAAATCAACCTTAGAATCGATCCTTTTCTACTCTCCCTGTTCCTTTGCCCTCAGCCTCACTCTATTTTTAACCTGCTGCCCTCAAAGTGTGTTTTCCTGAGCCCTCCTGCCCAGGGATGTTCTGCCCGGGGCTGTTTGAGGCATCGCGCTGCCGGCCGTGACTATTGTTGTTGCCAGCTGAGCAGTACTTATTTTTTTGGCTTCTTCTGGCATTCTCACCTTTCAGCAGCTCCGGGAGGAGCCCCTCCAGGCGCTCTATATCCACTCTCCTGTCTATTTACAGCCGTACACAGCAACTGTGTTTGTGAAGGAGTTCTGGGAAGTGGGAGCCTCCGGAGCAGCAGGCGCGGTGCTGCCCATGGCTGCAGGTGGGGTGGCTGCCACTGCCTTGTCCTGTTGGGGTGCTGGGGGACATGGCTCAGCGAGGGACTTGTCACTGTTAGGTTGATCTTTGAGGTCTTTTCCAACGAAGGTGATTCTGTGAAGGGGGCAGCATTGTCATCTTTGCTGCTCCTGTGATTCTGCTGATTGTGGCCCCCCGCAAGAACACGGGCATACCTTGGCAGACATGTAACTGTTTCTGTCACTTTAGATGGGCCCACAAAAGTGTTTATTTGGTGTAGTTTCTGTTTGTTCATTGACTGTTCAGCATGAGTTTGCTGAAAGATAAATTAAGCTGGGTATTTTAATTTCACTTCAGTCCTGTCTCCTTGCAAGTGCTGAATAAGACAGAAGGTGGAATAATGAGCTTGGTGCTCAGTTAAGGGCAGTGCACCCCTCTAAAACCTGCTGTAGTTAATGACATATTCATGAATGAAGGTTCTGGTAATTTGGAATTGTTTACAAAGTACTTTCTGCCTGTTACCTGTAGTTTTAAGAAACAGACCAGTTTGGAGAGCTGGGAATGGCTGGGAGTGCTTCCTGCTGGCACATAAATGTGGTTAATTGAGCATCCCCTGCAGCTTGTCCACCACAGATCCATGGAGGGTGATTGTCTGAAAGGTGGTTTAGCACAGAATTGCTCTGGAATGGCTGAATATCTTGAATTGGGAAATACCCTGGAAGCTGCAAAAAAAACTTTCTTCAATCCTCCTTGGTTCAAATCTGCATAATTAGTTGTGGGCTTTTTTTTGAGCCCTGAGGCTGAAGAAGCTTGTCTGAGCTCTGATAGTGGATCCATCACTGGGATGAGGAGGAGTTTGGTCTGGCCAGCTGGGTCTGTGAACTCCCCTCCTCGGGGCTGTGCAGGGCAGAGCACCCTTCCTTGGCTATGAAGCTGGGCAACTGCTTGCCAGACTCCTTGAAGAAAAATTGCCATAGCACCCTGTGTTTTTGAATAGCATCTAAGATGTGCCTTGTCTTTTTGCTAGTAAATAATTCCAGGTGAATTCACAACTGATGACAAGTTGGATGAAACTTAAGTAACTATCAGAAATGTATTCCTGGACTGGAAGAAATAGAAAAAATAAAAATTTGCCCTCTGAGTTTCCAGGCATGAAATACTGGACACCAGAGAGGAGCTGCAGCCCTGGTTTACAGGATCAAGCAGTTGGGTTTGTGTAGGTGTTGGAGTTAATGTTTGTGAGGGATATTTTAAAGTGTTGTCAGTGCAAAATGGAGATGGGCATGGTGAAGGGGAGGCACAGTTCCTCTGGGGGCTTCTCCCTAGGACTGGGCGTTTCTCTTATTACTGTGATCCTGGAGCATTGGAAGCCAATTGAAAGGAAGTCACTAGGTGTTTTTCTCCCCTAGGCTTAAATCCTCTGTCCTTGGATCCTGCCAGCAGCAGCAAATCCCTGCAGCTCAGCAGCAGTGCTGGCCCACAGGGGCCGGGCAGCCCTGGCGAGGATGGGAGCGAGCTGGGCAAGAAGAGGAGGAGAGCAAACCTCCCTGCAGGTGGGGCTGTGGGTGGGTGCTCACTGCTGCTCCTGTGCCAAGCAAAAGCAGCTTCTGTGGTGTTAATTGTGGGGTCTCTCTGCCTGTCCCAATAGATTTATCCTTTTTGTCTAATTGGGCAATATCTCAATACTGTCCAACTCTCAGTTGGGCCATATTGTCCAATATCTCGATATTATCATCATGACTGTGGTGAGAAGCATAATAAGGCTGATCAGCCTGAATGAGCTAGATTTTTTTTTTCATAGAATCATTCAGATTAAACACGAGCTCTAAGGCCATCAAGCCCAACCATCAGCCCAACCCCACCATGCCCACCAAACTGTGTCCTGAACTGCCACATCCACCTGGTGTTTGAACCCCTCCGGGGATGGGGGATCCACCCCTGCCCTGGGCAGCCTGGGCCAGGGCATGACCACCTGTGTGTTGCCTGCAGAAGAGCTGAGGCTCAAACCAGGACAATGCCCAAGCTGCTCATCCCTGTTCTCCTCTCAGCAGGTGGTGGCAGGACCCTAAGCCTCGACTCCATTCCGATGGGCTTGCCGATGTCAGACCCCACTGCCTGGGCCACTGCCATGAACAACCTGGGAATGGCTCCCATGGGGATGACAGGACAGCCCCTCCTGCCTGGTATGGGACCTCATCTGGGCTCTGCCCGCTTTTGCTTTCCACCATGTCCTTAGGAAGAGCCTGATTCAGTTGGGCCAGCTAAATGCCTACCATATACAAACAGCATTAATGAGCTGGGTTTGACATGCATTCCTGTGTGTGAGTGATCTGTGTAGAGGCCAGTGTTTTAAAACTGATCTCAGTGAAGATGAGAACACGTGGTTTTGGTGTAAACAGTGGTTATTGTGGGCTACCCCCAGACATGCTACAGTAGGCCAGCAGGAGAGCCCCACACAGAGCTCAGGAAACCAGTGACATCCAATCACATGTCATTCTAAGCTGGACTGGAACTGTCATAGAGAGAGTGGAAGGAGGATAAAGAGAAGAGCAATGGGGCAGTAAAATGGATATGGCAGAAATCAATGGAGGTTTCTGCTTCAGGAATGATCACCTTGATGTCTGGTTATGCATGAGTGAGTCATCCCATCCAGGATATGTTAGAGAGCTCCTGTAGGAACAGAGCTGTGCTGTACCTGGCTTCTCAGCAGTGCAGGAAGCCTGTGCATCCAAATCCTGAGACAAAATGACTGTTTCAGAGCTTCACTGCACTCAGTGCTTGAGGCGGATGCTGTCTCCTGCCTGAGTGATTGCCTGCTCACCTGGGGAGGCAGCGTCTGGGTTGGCAGCACTGTAGTCCTGTTCCTGCCCCTGTGGTCTTGCTAAAACAGGCTGTCACAGCTTTCCCTAAAGAGCACCTTTAGAGCACCTGCTTTTATCTTAGAAATGACCAAAGTGCTAACTGAAGCCTAGGACCAGGTGAGGTGTTTCTTGAACTGCTTGTGTGCCTTTCACCCCAAATTATTCTGGCGCATTCTTAGCTGCTGGAATTGGTGCACTTGTCTAGTTTGCAAGGTGGTGCCCTTCACCCTGTGTCCCAAACTGCCAGCACTGCTAGACTATTTAACCAGGCTGGGTTAGGTTTTGCACTGTTTCCATCTTCCACAGGTTTCTTTATGTGCCTAAACCTTACTGGGAAAGGCTTTGGCACTAGATGGGAGGTGGTGTCTGCAGAGTGGAAAAGGAGGTAGTTTATTTGAACAGAGAAAATCGATTTGGCTGAGGCAATGAACAATGCAATAGTTTTTAAGAAGTCTTATTTTATTTTAAAGTATTTTTTTAAAAGGGCAGAAATCTGAATTTCTGGTGAGTTCTCTCGTGATGTTCCTCCCTGTTTATTCAGCTGAGTTTCACTGGCCCATGTGGGGCAGGACTCCCTTTGCTGTCTGAAAAAGCAGTTACTGTCTGAGACCAACACACTGTCTGACTCCTGTGCTCTCTTCCCATTTAGATTTTGATCCTGCTCTTGGGATGATGACTGGAATTCCTCCCATCAACCCCATGATGCCAGGCTTGGGAATAGTCCCACCTCCCACCCCCCCGGACATGCCTGCTGTGAAGGAGATCATTCACTGCAAGAGCTGCACCCTCTTCCCACCCAACCCACGTAACTGGCTATTTCTGTTCCCTCCTGTTTCTGTCTGCATAGGAACACATGGACCTGAGTGTCTATACATATATTTTATTTTAAAAGTGAGAGAAGAGCCATTACATTCCTTTGGGGTGAGTCATTGTGAGTAGGTGGTGACAAGCAGGTGACAGGGCAGTTGGAAAAGCCTGTTCTTGTCACTGTGTGTTTGCCATTTCAGTAAATAGCCTTTTTGGTTGTTGGATTGGTAAGAACTGGGGAAGAAAGGAAGAAAACATTCTAGTCCCTGAATATTTGAACCCTTAATCTTCATGGTGTGGTTCCTGTATGTATCCTCTAAAGCTTTGGAGGAGCACAGTGAGTGCTTGGAGGTCAGGGGACTGGGTCAGCCAGCATGGTCCATGCTTGGTCTGTGCTCTGGGTTTTGCAGAATGTGATGAAATGAGGGTAAAAGCAGTTGAAAATAAGACAGAATGAGGAATAAGGAACTTATGAGAAATAAGGCTTGATGTTCTTACTCTTAGAAGAATCAGGAATCTTTATTCTTAGAAGCCAGGAAGGTATGGTTGTCACTCAGGAAAGGGGGCAGATGAAGGGAACGTGTGCTGACAAACCAAAAACTGACCTGGTCACTTTCTCTCTCTTCAGATCTTCCCCCTCCAGCAACAAGAGAGAGGCCCCCAGGGTGCAAGACAGTGTTTGTTGGAGGGCTGCCAGAGAACGGGACAGAGCAGATCATCATGGAGGTGTTTGAGCAGTGTGGGGAGGTCATTGCTATTCGCAAGAGCAAGAAGAACTTCTGCCACATCCGCTTTGCCGAGGAGTTCATGGTGGACAAGGCCCTTTATCTCTCTGGTAGGTGTCTGTCTGTCTCAGATGGCAGCCTGAAATTCTGGGGCAGACATGTAGTGACTCCTTTACAGTTATCCTGGTTGACTTCGTTGCCATGGGAAGATTTGTCTGGTGTTGTGTCAGTTTGCCTCTTTTCCTGCTCATATTGCATTTCTGCTTAAATTCATGAAAACAGCTCCTGATGGGAGAGAGAGCAGTGCTCTGATATCTTGGGTGCTGCAAACCTCTGCAAAATATTGGGATGGAACAAAGTCCATCCCTCTCTCACCTGGATAAATGTCCAGCAGATTCTGTAGATGATGCTGAAGGGTCCCACTGCCTGCCCTGTGTGAGCAGCTGTGCTCAGTACGAGAGGCTCTTCACTAGTTCAGCTCTTTGGGACCCAGCACCTGCTGGTGTCCAGAGGAGGAGGAGCCCAGGTAGGATCTTGCCCAGCATCTGCAAAGCACAGGCAGATAGCAACAACCCCCTGGCAGTGTTTCCTGCTGCAGCTTCACTCCCTATTTGCTGAACTCCTCATGAACTCCTCTGCTGGGGGGCTCTGGTGTGCAGGGGGCAGAGCTGGGCACTGGGAGGCGTCTGTGCCAAAGGGGCATCACCTGCCCTGCCTGACCCGGGTGCCCTCCCTGCCAGGCTACCGCATCAGGCTGGGCTCCAGCACGGACAAGAAGGACACGGGACGCCTGCACGTGGACTTTGCCCAGGCCCGGGATGACCTGTACGAGTGGGAGTGCAAGCAGCGGATGCTGGCGCGGGAGGAGCGGCACCGGCGCCGCCTGGAGGAGGAGCGGTTCCGCCCGCCCTCGCCCCCGCCCGTCGTGCACTACTCTGACCACGAGTGCAGCGTGGTCGCTGAGAAGCTGAAAGGTGAGAGGGGTCTGAGGGCCTGGCCGCCCTCTGTGCAGGTGCTGGGACAAGGGTTTGTGTTCTCCACTTGTCCCCTTGCTGAACTGAAGCGATGGTGCCACCCGGAGCTGGCAGAGCCCGCTCAGCCTGAGCCCTCAGCCTCCACGGGGCAGCTCTCCTGGACACCTCTTCTTCAAAACTGTCTCTTAGTAAAAGCAGGCCCATGCTTGAGTGCAACAGGATCTTCCAAACTATTTTTGTTCATGTTCAGAGGACTAGTGTAAGTCCTCAGACCTTCTCTGAGCTCCAAGCCCTGCATGTGGCCTGATTCTTTTGGATCTGGAGGATATTTTGCTTCATCAAAGAGATATTTTATTTCTTAATCAGAATTGGCACGTGAAATTTGCCTGTAGGTTTCTAGCAATTAGTCCTCATCTTGTTGCACCTCAACAGATGGTTTGTTCCATCAGCTTGATGTTAGACTTGCCTTCCTTTGTAGAAGCCTTGTATCCAGATAATGCCATGATTTCAAGAGTAGTTATTAGCCCCAAGTAAGATGACCTTAGAGACAGAGCAGGCCAGCAGTGCCAGGGGAAAGGGCCTGAAAGCTGTGTTGGCCACCCTGTGCTGCTGTGGTGTAAAGGTGTCTGTCCTTGCTGCAGATGAAACAAAGTTCTTGGAGGCCATACAGACCTTGCTGACCTGGATTGAGCGTGGAGAGGTGAACAGGAGGACTGCCAACAACTTCTACTCCATGATCCAGTCGGCCAACAGCCACGTTCGCAGGCTGGTGAACGAGAAGGCAGCTCATGAGAAAGAGATGGAAGAAGCTAAAGACAAGTTCAAACTTGCTCTCTCAGGGATTCTGGTTCAGTGTGAGTAGTGTTTGCACCCTGCTTGTCTGTTGTTGTACGGAAGGTGCTTAATTCCTGGAGTCTGAAAAGGCCACACCAGAAGTGGCAATCACTGCTGTGCAACTGCAGTTAGTTTATAAGCATAGATCAAAGTTTCCTGTGGTACTTTTTATTGCAGTAAGGGTTCACATCTGGGGGGAGGAGAGAGTGAATGCTTAATTTGTTTCCTCTTTTAATTATAGTCTATTACTAGTTCTGTCATCTTTTCAACTCCTCTTCTGTGCACAGACAAGGTAAGTTCTGGGAATCTGGTGCCTCAGCGAAGTGTGCAGGATTTGTTCACCAAAGGTAGGATGCAGCAGAGTGTTCCCAACGCCCTGGTCTCAGTCACACCTGAAAACCTAGTGCAGAACAGCATTTCCAACCTGGGTCTTTCAAACCCCGGGCCTTTATTGAACCAAGAAACCAAGGGAGAGGTGTGGGCCATCTTAGGATACATCCATAATGGATACCTAATGGATGTTTCACACCCATTCGTTAACAAGTCTTCACTCTTTTTTTTAAGAGTACCTTTCAGAGTACCCTCTGCACAATTTTACTAAGCCTCCTTGAGCCCTTTGGCTAGGTTGTGAACATTCTTAACTTTTGGGTTTATATTCAATCATTTTGGCCGGTATTTGTTTTAAGATTTGATTTTTTTTAGTTGTGTTGTGTTTTTTTTTTTAATTCTCTTTGTGGTAAAAGATGTGGGCACGTGGCCCAGGGGCAATGCAGTGAGCCCTGCAGAGTGAGCAGCAGTAGAGAGCAGCATGCAGCTCTGCTCTGTGGAACACCCACTGGGATCTCAGCCACTCTTGGGTTGCTCCAAGTTGCAGAGGCTGATTTTCTTCTGTTAGAAGAAGGGCTGCTGCAGCACCTCAGGTGTGAAAGCACAAATACATCAGGTAGATGGGCTTTCTGCTGCTGGGTGAGCTCTCGTCCTAGGAGAGGCACATTGTGTTTCCAAAAAAAACACTCTGCAAGTTTTCTAGACAAGTCCTTCAGAAGGAATAAACCCCAGGAGCAGAAGGAGTTGGTGGCTGATGCTGGAAGCCTGATGGCCCAGTTGGCTGGGAAGGGGAGTGGTGGTGCTGAGGCTGCAGCACTGCCCCTGGGGCTGCTCCCGTGGGCAGAGGAGCATCCCAAGAGCCAGCTCCCACCCTTGTACCTCCCCATCCCGAGCCCCTGGGTGTACCCTCACACCAGCAGGCAGGGCAGCATGTCCTGGTGTTTTCCAGCCCCTCTGTGCTCCTGCCCCAGCCATGTCCTGGGCCTTGGGCACTGCCTGGGGAGTCCACGCTTTTCTTTCCAGGCACAGGGTCCCTTTCCTGAGCGTAGCTTCAGCACAGTGCAGTGTTGTAGGAAAAGGTTAGCCAAACCACCTGCCTGATTCCACTTTTTTACTCCTTTACTCCTCTTGTTCGCCCTCTCTGGATGATACTCTGGCCTGGTTTCCCTGCTGATTTGATCCTACAGTCGAGCAGATAGTGGCCGTGTACCATTCTGCCTCCAAACAAAAGGCTTGGGACCATTTCACGAAAGCTCAGCGTAAGAACATCAGCGTGTGGTGCAAACAAGCAGAGGTTGGTAATTTTCTTTTGTGTTAGATCCTCCAGCACAGTCTCTTGTCAGGATTTTGATGTTAAGTTTGCACAGTGCTCACGTGGATAACACCTTAATTCACAGTGAAAGGTGGGAATTGCTCAGTCGTCTCTTGTGTTACAGGTAATTAATTCTCTCTGGGTATTTGTGTCATTAGTGGCAATACACTGAGGTCTGCATGTTGACTGGAGCTGTGCACAGTGACAATAATTATTGATACGTTTTCTGCTGGTTTTGATGTTAGAACATGAGGGGTCTATAGAGAGATGTTTAAAAAAACCCTAACAAACCCTCATCATCAGAGATCTGTTCTGTCACATTTTTATTGACAGGCTTGAGAGGTGGAAATAACTGTGGCTGGACAGTCTGGAAAACATGAGGGAGGATGTCCTCATATTTCTGTATTTACCCCATGCAGCCACATTGCAAGTGGAACACAGGGTTTGAAGGGGGTGACAAGGATGGGGTTGGTGGAAGAAGGCAGGTGGCTCTCACTGCTCCTCCTGCAAAAGGAAGGATAGCTCTCAGTCCCTCATCTGATCCTTTCAAATCTTGGTGGAGTCAGGCACAATGTCAGAAAAAATAAGGCTAAGGTGAAGAGAGGCTGGGAAGGGGATGGTTTGGGAGACCTTTGTCCTGGGGTCTGTGGTGGAGTATTTGCTGGCCTCTGTCACTGGTGCAGTAGGGATGTCCCACTGCTTGGCTGCCTCTGGCAGCAGAGCCTACCTTGATGTCTGTGTGGCCTGAGGAGGAGGGAGGAGACAGCTGTGCTGCAGGGGATGTGGAGGGCTGCCAGGAGTGGTGGAAGAGCCCTGTGGTGGGTCTCCTGCTCAGGGTTTGTCTCCCTAGAGTCCCCCTTCTGTCTCCCTTCCCTAGAAAAGTCAGTGCTCCAAGTAGCAGAAGTGTTGTCCCCCTGGGCTAGGAATGCTTTTGGAGGAGAGGGTGAGACATTGTGTTTTTCTTGCTCATTAAGCTTTTAGAGTGAGGTGGAGCTTGACTCAGTTGATAACACTGACAATAAAGGCCTCTCTGAAGTAGCAGGACTCAGATCTGAAGTGCAGAGAAGAGCTGGGAGAAATGAATTTTATCCCAGGCCAGGGGGCCACTGCTGTGTTCAGAAATACTCTTGTTTGCTGCAGGAACTTGAGCAGCTCTGAGCTGATCTTGTCATTCATGTCAGAAATGGAGACTGTGCTGGGGATGCCAGTCGGGATGTGTCTGATGGCAGCTGTGTCCCAGGGGCTGGGCAGGAGCTGGGGTTTGGCACAGGTGCTGTTCTCAGCACAGATGTGCCAACAGCTGGGAGGGTCTTGTCCACACACATGTGAGTTAGTCAGGTTTGGGTGAGAAATCCTAGTAGCTTTGGATTTCCATCTTCCTTTCTTTTGATTCCCTGGCCTGGGAAGCCAAGGTACTGAATGCTGGACCTCATGTGGCTTTCCAGAGCCTTGTGCAGCCAGGAGTGAATGTTCCCTCTTGGGATGGGGACACCAGCTGAGAAAGTACTTGTCTGATGTTGCCCAGTGACCCTCTGGAAGATGAGGTTTTTGGTCCCAGTTGTGGATTGCACTCAGTGCCCTCCTTGTGAGACCACTCTGGGATTTCTTCCCAAATCCCACCGAGTCAAGCCTTTCATAGGAGTTAAAGGAGGAGCTTTGGTTTTGTGTTATACCTGATAAACCAGGTGGAAACTCTTGATTCAGATGATGCCTCTGCTCTGAGCCCTGCTGCTCCTGTTCTTTCCTGCTTACTGAGGTTGCTTACTATGACTGGGGTGGGAGCACTCTCTCCATTTGGAGCTGTCTTTTGTTCCAAGGTAAGTTCTCCAGGTGGGAAGAGGCTGTGAACCCACTGGTGAGGTCTTTTCCAGGAGTTCTTGCTGCTGGGCTCAGCCTGCTGGTCTCCCCCAGCTTAGGGTCTCCTCTGAAAGGAAGGTGGACCTGCAAGATGCATCTTTTTGGTACAGAATTTAATTTTTGGCAGAATTCAATCCTATGGATCATGGCATTGGAGGAAATCCCAGCAGGCAGCTCAGGGAGTGGGTACATGCTGGGTACTGAGGCTGGGCAGGGCTTTCTTTTTATCTGTGGTGACTTCAGGAGGTTTCCTTGCTGGTGCAGGCAGCTTGGTGAGAAGCCATGGAAACTTGAGACCTGATGAAGCACCAGGCTGTGGGAGCTGCCCCAGCACCTTCCCTGGTGTGGGCAGGACCTCGCTCAAGGCTTTGGCTTCTCTGATGTTTTTTCCTCTCCAGCCCAGCTGCTGTTTTATGGGTGGTCTCTGGGCAGGCAGCAGGGGCTCTGGGAGTGAAGGCAGTGCTGCCCATCGCCCCCAGATCCGCCTCCTTCCCGCCCCTTCCCCCTTGCTGTCCCCAAGGTGCCCAGTTACCCCAGCTGAAAGCACAGTTGTTTTCCCTGTTGGCTGCTCTTGGTGGACAGGTGCTCAGTGCTGACAAGTTTCTGGCCACTAGAGTAAAGTCTACAAAGTGCTGAATGTTGATTCTATTTCATAAGCAAATCTTCTGTATCTTCTCCCCTGGGGCTGTTTCTGGGCCGTGTAATCCCAGTGGAGCTGTGGTAAATTGCCCTGGAGTGTGGGTGTGTGGCTCTAGTGAGTATTCCTGACATCTCCATCTCCTTGAGTGGGACTGTTGGTTTTTGAGTGATGCTTGTCCTGCTCTGCAGAGGGATGGGGAGGCTGAGCCAGGGGTTTCCCTGCCTTCCAGAGCTCTCCCTCTGCCCAGTGCCAGCTGGATGGGGCGGGAGACCTTCTCTGGGGGAGCAGGTGGGATTGGCCAGCCTTGAGAGGTCACTTAGAGATGTGTCCCTGCTCCAGGGAGATCCATGCAGCCCTCTGCCCTGCCAGAGAGGCCAGGGGGCTGCAGGTACCTGCAGTGCCAAGTGATGGTCCAGGCAACAGCACTGACAGCCTGACTCGTGCCAGGTCCTCTCCTTCATCTAATAGGCTGTGCCAAGGTTTCCTGTATCACGTCACTCTCTTGTATCATGGAGTTGCATTTTGCAGGCTTAGATCTCAGCATCTTGTTATCCAACCAGTCTGTTCCTTGTCATCTCTCTTTAAACCCCCCTCTGCTTTCTGGACCTCAGGAAATCCGTAACATCCATAACGACGAGCTGATGGGGATCCGGAGGGAGGAGGAGATGGAGATGTCTGATGAAGAAATAGAAGACCCGTCGGAGATGAAAGAAACGGAAGAATCAGGTAAAACCCCTTTTCCCAGCTCAGAGCAACTGTTTCCGGGGAAGGCACCTCGGGGCTGCTTGTTCTCTGAGTGTTGAGCCCTCCTGGCCTGTTGTGCAGCCCTGGTGTCCCAGGTGGAGGCGCTGAAGGAGGAGAACGACAGCCTGCGCTGGCAGCTGGACGCCTACCGCAACGAGGTGGAGCTGCTGAAGCAGGAGCAGGGCAAGGCCAGCAGGGACGAGGACACCACCAAGGGGCAGCAGATGAAGCTTCTCCAGCAGGCTCTGCAGGGGATGCAGAAGGTGGGCCCGGGCTCTTGGATAAGTGCAGCTTTGCTGCAGGGACAGAGAGGGTGGGATGTGGAACACAAAGACAAGCAAAGACGTCGTGCTTTTCTGTGGGATCAAAACTGGCAAGTGGGAGCAACTTTCTCCTGAGCTTGGCTGGTCAAGGGAGTGCCCAGCTTGCTGTGAGGCTTGTTGGGAGCATCCTGCACCCCTGGGCTGGTGGGGAGCAGTCGTGGCATTTTTCTGCAGTGTGGAATTGTGCAAATCACAGTGCAAACCTCCTTACCCAGCAGCCCTTCCAGAGTATGTCCTTCAATTGCAAGGCACCTCTGTATTAATATGGGGCTAGAGATCTAGGAGGGCTTTAAGGTGACTTCCCCAGGGCATTTGTTTCCATGCTGCTCTTTCCCATGTTCATGGCCATAACATGAACCAGCCTGGGGGAGGGGAGGAGTTCTAGCAGGGGGCAGACCCCCAAGGCACAGCACGTGCTTGATTTTGGGGGCAGTGAAGGTTTGGTGATGATGGAATTACTGCCCCATGTTGACAAAATCATTTCTTGCTTTGTGTGCTGATAGACAAAGGCATTTCTAAGGCACATCGAAGAACATTTTTCTTCTTGTTTAGAGTTAACCTTTTAATTGCTCTGAATATTATCTCTCTGGTCTGCGTGGCAAAGCCCTTATTCCTTTTCAGCCATCAGGTTAAGAACTGAGTTTATCTCTTCTCTTCCAGCACCTTTTGAAAGTACAAGATGAATACAAAAAGAGAGAAGCTGAGCTAGAAAAAGTGAAAGAAGACAAATTAAAATTGGAAACATTATTAGAAAACCTGAAGGAGCAGGTAGGTGCCATCCCAGGGCTTTCTTATTCTCAGCAGTAAATCCAGTCCTTGGATTTCATGGCCCATCATGAAATCAGAGCACAGAAGTTGCCTGGCCTGGGATTAGGAACAGTTCTTTGGAAAGCCAGAAAAAATGACCTACCCAACTGGAGGATGCAGCTCAGTAGTGAACTTGCTGATTGCTGCATGTACCAGGGGGACAGTCAGCACAGGCAGCTCTAGAAATACAATATTAGCTTTCACTTGATAGCAGACAGTGGTATTTCTCTGCAATCTGAGCTTTAAAAGATAAGAAAAAAAAAAATCAACTTAATTATCAAACATTTATTTTTAGGTTTGCATGTTAGGGTTGTGTTTTGATCTGTCCTCCACAAAACATGACTGGAATGAAAGCTTTTGTCTGTGTTAAAATATTCCCTTGCTGACTGGATTTATTCTCAACAGAAGTGTGTAGTGTTTCTTCTCAGGTGTGATCCACTCTTGGTTCTGGACTCGTGCATGAGCCTGGACTTGCTTGGCCCTCTGTAGCACAGATACTCTGGTCCAGGGTGGAAAAGAACCACAGCACTCCTCACTGAGGACCAGAGAGCCAAATCTTGTCTCAGATTGTAGTCTTTAGCCCCACCTTTTTGTGCCACGAGCTGAGAAAGATGATAAATGTCTTTGTAGTCACAAAAAGTGGCTTTTGTATCCCAGGAATTCTCAGTGCCTGGTATCAAAGACCAGGGATAAGAGGCTGTTGTCAATAACCTTTCCTTTTCTTTACCTGCTTGTAGCAAAGCATGGCAGATGAAGAGGACAAGGAGAGAGATGCAAGTGATTGTCAAGGGAATGTAAGTCCAAGAGTTTATTTTCTGCCTCCTTAGTCAGAAGGTCTCAGTGAGGGGGGTGCAGTGAGCAGCTGGTTCCCGTGTGGCTGCCCTGGGGTGTGTGTGGTGACACAGGCTGTCCCTGTGTGCACTGACATCACCAGGTTACCTGCTGCTGGCAGCTTCTGGCTGAAAGAGCAGTAGGTCCTTGCAACACTGTGGTGCAGAAGTGGGGTTTGATGTGCAAGAGAATGTGTTGCCCTGTTATTTTAGCAGCTTCCCAAAACATCTGAGGGGTCTCCAAGGGGGAGCAGGAAGCGTGTGCCTGGGGTTGTGCTGCCCTGCAGACCCTGGGGCAGCCTGGAGCCAGCTCCTTCCCACACTGCAGACTGGTTTTCCCTGCAGAAGCAAATCACAGCCTGCCTGGGCCAGGACTGCAGTTTCAGTCCTGTCCCGTTGGGAATTGCACTGGCAGGAGGAGCTGAGCAAACCCAAAGGACTGGTCAGTTCTATCTTTGTTCCTGGCCCAAGTCCCATCCCTTTCACTAGTGTCTGGAGCCCTTTCCAGTTAGAGCTGTCTGTACCTCTCAGGCCACTGGAATTCCACATTAAACTGAGGAATAAAGGAATGTTCTGCTTTCAGTGCACCCACCAGGGTCTTGCATCACTGCCATTCTTATCTTTATTTTGGGCATGATGAACTGTGCAAAATTCTGTTTTAATTCAGTACCAAAAGCTGAAGTCAGGGACAAGCTGATCCCAACCCCTTTGCAGCCTCTGTGCACTTGATTAATCACTTTCCTTCCCTTTAGGCATCTGAAAAACAAACATCTGTAGCTGCATTGGTCACTGCAAGATTTTATTTCTAGTCTGTTTTTTCTTTTATTATTTAAAATAATGCCCTTTTCCAGTGGATGTTGTGCCAGTGGATGGAGCTGGTAAAGCATGTCTTGTGGCATCTTGCTTAACTTCATGGGCTTTTAACCCAGCTTGCTCACTCAGACACAGCAGCATGAGTGTGGCTGGGCTGTGTTGGGAGCATTTTGCAAAATGAACAGCAGGTAAGAGCAGTGCCAGGAGTGCCATGACTGGCAGAGGCAGGAAGACACAAATACAGGCTATTGAGTCGGAGGGAGCTGCTGCTTTGTTGATCTGTGCTGGATGGTGCTGAACCCAGGACAGAGCCCTGCTGGGGTGTGGAACAGGCCCTGTGGTTTCCCTGCAGGAGAGCAGTGCAGCCAGAGCTTGTGCCTGCAGCCAGGAGAAGGAGTGTCCAGCTGAGAAGGTGCTGAGCAGCAGCCCTGTGAGGTCTGAGCGGGAAGTCCTGCTGGTTGGTGAGTTCTGTGATAAGCCTGGTGAGGCTGCTGGGGGCCTGAACTGAGGGGTGGAGGTGGGAGTCCTGGAGGCAAGGAAAGGCTCCAGGTTGGCTGGCCTGGGGTCTCCCCAGGTCTGTGGCTCTTGTGCAGCCCCCAGTGAGAGGCAGAGGTGGAGCTGGGCCTGTGGCACCGCAGGGCAGCACGTCCTGCAGGGTGAGCTGCTGCTCTGGGCTCCAGCCTCAAGTCACGGCTCAAGGGTGTGATAACCTCAGCCTGGTTTAAGCACTAACCAGTGTAGCTGGTTAGTTGTTTCCTTTGCAGCCTGTCTGCCAAACCTCACTGTACTGCACCCAACATGCCCGTTGGGTCCCCCTGGGCTGTGCCTGCAGGACCAGAGCCGGCGCTCCCGGCCGGCTCCGCAGGCTGAGTTTGTGCTGTTCCTTTTCCCAGGAATAATTTCAACCTTCCTGCACGTGCACCCCTTTGGAGCCAGCATCGAGTACATCTGCTCCTACCTGCAGCGCCTGGACAGCAAAGTATGTGAACACTTCCCAGCCCCCTGCCCTGCTGGGGGTCTGTGTGAGCTGCACCCCCTGCCCTGCCCTGCGGTGGTGGGAATGTTGTGCTGGAAGAGGACGAGGGCAGGGGGGACCTCTCCTGGCATCACAGACTGGCTCACTAGATCTCTTGTTGGACCAGGTTGCTCAGGGCTCCCCAGCTCCTCATGCAGCCCAACACTGACCCACACCCAGAGCTGGGGGCTGTGTCCTCACTGCAGGTGGTCACGTGCCCATCCTGCTCAGACCTCAGGAAACCCTTTGACTGTAGCTCTATTTTGGAGCAGTGAATTCCATCTTTAGGACCTCCATCCAAAATGTATTTTTGTTTACTCTCTTCGAGTTTGTTGCCTTTGGTTTCCGTCATCCTTTTGACCTCTGAGGAAGGAGCAAACAGCCCACCCCTTGCATGCTATTTATTATCTGTAGGATCTGCCATGACACTGTTTGTGTATATTCTTTCTAAACTGACCAACCAGTCTTACTGTTTTTGTGTCTCTGAGCAAAGTTCTTCTGCATTTCTGAACTTGTAGCCCTTCACTGAGCCTTTTCTGTCTGTTTTGATACTGTCTGTGAGGTCCTTTTCAGGAGGGTGCAGTGCAAGGGCCTCACACGAGGGAAGCAGCAGCTCTGCCCCCCAGTCCCTGCTTCAGGGGCTGGTGTGAAGGGCAGGGTTGAGTCCTGGGGTCCAGAAGGGCAGTACCAGGAGCTGTGATCCTGCATTTTCCCTAAAGCACCAGGAAGCTGCTGTTCTGTTCCGTATCTGGGTGTCACTGGCTGCAGGCTCCTCTGCAGGATAACTGGGGAGGGACTGTGCAAAGGCTTTGGGAGGTTCAAGGAAGTTCCATCTCGCTCCTCTGGTGCACCATCCTTCAGTTGTCTTCCTTAGGGTGTCCTAGGAGCAGGGCCTGACCAGCATGGGAATTGTCTGGACCTTGTAGCTGCTTTTGTTTATCACTTAGTGTTTAATCTGCCTGGCTCTGTGGAAGCGCAGTTCACTGGCCTGTGTTTTCCAGGCTCCCTCCAGCCCTTTCAAGTCACAGCTGATTATTTGTTTTATTCTTCTTCTGAATTTGTCTATGAGGCAAACAGCTGCCTTTATTTTCTTTTGGAGCTCCTAAAGAAGTGCCATCATATCACTCCTCTGCCTGGAAGGGGCTGCTGGAGGTTCCTGCAGTCAGCTCAGCAGAAGGGCCCCGTGCCAAGTGCACCCTTGCCCTGCAGGGCATCAGGCTCTTCTGTTCTCTGCCACTTGGGTGAGCACACCAGCCTCGGACTTGCCCTGGCCTTTTGTGCCTGGTCTCCTGAGGGCAGGTTTCCCCATTGGTTCTGGATTCATCCTGGTGCTTTTGTCTCCTCCTGGATCACTGTAGGGGTTGGGTGATGTTGGGGATGTTGCAGGGCTTGGGGCTTGAGGTGGGGTAGGAGCTGGGGGGAGCAGAACCTGGCTGCTGGAAGCTGCCAGCAGGGAAGGAAGAGGATTAAATTTGTTTGTGCTTGAATATAAGTAACTGCAGGGCTTCCCTGACCAAAAATGTCTGAGTTCTCAGTGACATTTTCGTCCTGTTCCCACAGATTTGCACCGCAGAGGTGGAAGTTCTCATGACTCGACTCCAGAACACGTTCAGGCAGGAGCTGAGTGGGGTTGGGGCCAGCCTGGAGAAAAGGTGGAAGTTTTGTGGCTTTGATGGATTGAAAATGACTTGAGTTTGGACTTAGTGATGGAAGCAGCAGCGGGATGTGTACGCCAGGAGGACCTGGGCTGCCTCTTACCTCTGCTCCTGATGGTCACCTTGCATGCATCACGGACTCGGGTGGGATGGTGCATGAGTGAAACTAGGTCCAGAGCAGCACTGGGAGAAATGTCAAGTTCTGTAGGTATTTTGATTAATTATTTGTAAACAGGCAAGTGCTGTTCAATATATTTTGGGAAAAAAAGTCCATGTCTGATATTTTTAAGCACAGCTTGTGATGATGTTTTGCCAACGTGGTGGTTGGTGTGCCCAGAGCTCTCATCCTGACCCTTCCTTCCACTGGTAGGAGCAGCCATAGACTGTCTGCTGAAACAACAACAGAGGGGCAATTTTTTAGACATTTCTATGATTAAAAATTGAGGTATGTTCAAACAGAAGAAGATTTAGATGGCTGAGAGTTCTTTGAGCCAAACAGTTGGTTATTTTTCATTCTGTTTTCTCTACTAATGGTTTAACTGGTGAGCTAAGATGGAGGCAGTGTCCCTAGGAGGGTGTTCCTGGCAGTGCCCCTTGGGGCCTGAGCATTGCAGAGTCAGCCTGTAAATACATTTTCACACAGGCAGGGGGTTTAATTTCCTGCTGACCTGAGGGGAGTAGAGCATGTGCACCAGACTCTGTTTCAGTAGTGGCTTACCACCTTACCACCAGATTTTCCACCCACTTTGTTTTGGAGACCAAGCTTCTGGAAGTGCTACAGGCAGCACAGACTTTTCTCCTCCTAAATCTTCCTAAAGGCTGTTCCTTCTGTTCCCAGTAAGTTCCAGGCTCCTCCCCAACCCTCTGCAGAAGGTCTGTAAGATGTAGAATGCCCCAGCCCATTGATCCAGCCTGTCCAGATCCTTCTGGAGAACCTCCCGCACCAGGTGATTGCAACACTATGCCCAGTGGCTGCCCCTGCTGCCTGCCTTGAGGGAGATGCTCCTCAGCTGGGCTGTTGATCCCAACACCTTTCCTGAGGGAGAAGCCCCAGTTCCTACGTGACTGTTCTCAGGCACCTCTGTGGTTTCTAACACCTCAACAACCCTTGTGTCTCTGCTGCTGTTGGATCTCCATCCCCTGCCTCCACAGCTGGCTGGGGTGCTGTGCCCATTGGTACAGGGACATTCCAGATGTGCTCAGCACGTAGTGGAGCAGACAGAAGGACCTCACTGGCACATAGACATTCCAGATGTGCTCCAGTGTACTCAGCACGTGGTGGAGCAGACAGAAGGACCTCACTGGCACATTATCCCTCCAACATTGCCCAAAATCCTGTGGGTGACACCAGGCTTGGAGCCAGGCATTGATCTTCTGGCTCTTCCTGCTTATCCCTTCATCATTCCCTGCAAGTCGAGGGGTAGAAGAGAACACCATCCATGCTCCTGGTCCCTTTCCTTGTCATCCCAAGTCCCTGAAGCCTCTCTTCATTGCCCTTGCACTCCTCACTGCATCTTCATTGCTGCCAGTCTGAAGGATCAGTAATGGATGAGAACATGGGGCTGTGGGAGCTGGTGTGGCTGGAGAGCCCCTCTGAGGAGGGGCTGAGGCCTGGGCAGTTTGGTGGTGAACCAGGAGGTTGTCCTGTGGGGCAGGGGGAGGGAGTGGAGCTGGGACCTACCAGCGGTGGCTCTGGGCTGTAAAAGCAAGTCAGGGCCAGGTGAGTCCTGGGTCCTGCTTCTTCCCCTCTCCAGGCTTTCTTTACCAAGGCCTTTCCAGAGGGACTGAGGTATTGCTGAGACTTTGTGTGCTCTTTGCCACCAGGAGAAATCCCTTCTGCAGATGGGCTCCCTGGACACTGGGGATCCAAGTGAGATGCCACTGCAGGTACCAGAGCTGCTCTGCCTCTGGCAGTGGGTGCCTCTTGGAGCTGGGCCCCCTGCCCAGGCTGTGAGAGGTGGGAATGGGTGAGAGGAACCTTCCCGTGGGATCCAGGCTGCCTGCTCCCCTGGCTCGTGATGCTGAAGGTTTGCTACATGGGAAGCAGCAGCAGAAGCTTCTAAAAAAACATTGTGTCACTGCAGGTGAACATTGTATTTTTAAGGAATAAACACTTTTTTTATGTGCAAATCGTGGTCCTCCTGCTTTTTTTCCTCACCTCCATTCCCTTGCCTGCTAGAGGAGCAGAGGTTCTCCACCCTAAGCCCTCTGCCAGCACAGGGCTCCACTGTCCTAGTAAACCTCAAGAGCACTCAGCTGCTGGGCCAGCAAGTGACCAGTGGCACAGACCTATGAAGGCATCTCGTGGTGTTGGTGAGGCCCTGTGGGGTCTGCAGCCCCCCGAGCTCGTGGCACAAGACACCAGCTCTGTGCCTGTCCCAGCAGGGCTGTGAGCTCCTCAGCCCCAGTTCTGCAGGGTCTGAGCTGCTCTGCTCCCTCAGCCCCGGGGTGGGTTAGGGTGCTGAGTGCCTGGGGAGCTGGGGTGGGAACCATCCTGGGCTCCTGGATCAGCCCCTGCAGAGCTGCCCGTTCTGGGCTCCTCTGCCCCAGCAGCTGGTGGGAGCTCTGGGTGGTCACTGACAGGAGTGGGGCTGGGGAGGTGGGTTGAGCAATGGTGGGTCCCCTGCCAAGGCTCAGACACAGGCGTGGGAAGTGCTGCTCCTGACCCTGCCCTCTCTCCGTACGATGTTTCTGGCTCTCGTTTTTCTGGCAGAAAATTCACATTCCCACCACCCCTCTCCTCCCCTCGGCTGCCGCGCCCCCTCCCGCCCGCAGCAGGGAAGGGGGAGACCCTGCTCTGGAAACCATCACCTGGAAGGAAGAGAAGAGAGCCCAGGCTGCTGCTGCAGGAGGCAAACGAGGAAGGTAAATGTCAGCCCTTCGTTCCAGCTGGGGAGGGGTGACTCTGCTGCTGAAACCAGGGGAGTAACTGCAGCTCCTCGGGAATGGAAGGGGCAGCTGAGCTGATCCTTTCCCATGAGATTCCCTTAAATAAGCCCAAGTCCTAAAAACATGCAGAGCAAGTTGTTGCAGGGAGGAAGTTCTGTGTTAATGCTTCCAGTGAAAGGCTTTTTATTGTTTTATTAGAGTTAGTGAGATTCCTTCCATGGCACTCCCCTCTGAAGGACCAGTGCCAGCCTGGGCTGGACTGAGCTCCTGGGGCTCTGAGGGGACTTTGGGGCTCTGCAGGACACTGCCTGGCTCTGGACAGCGACACCCACGAGCTGCTCTCCTGCCATCAGGGTGTCTGAAGCCCTCAGTGCTGATCCCCATCCTGCCTGCTCCCCTGAGCACAAATCCAGGTTAGTTGCCAGCAGTAGGGCCAGTTTTTCCGGGGTTAACAGCAGAGTGGGAGCTGATCAGATACGGTGGCACTTTATAGAGCTGTTCTGGTGGCACTTGAGGCAAGGACAGATAAGCAGCAGCTTCCTGGGCTTCTTCCTGCTCTCCCTTTGCTCCCTCTCCTAATCGGGCTTCCTCCTCCTTGCCCGAGGCAGCCACATCCCCGGAGCTGGAGCAGGGGCTGGGAAGAGGCTCAGCCCAGAGCTGGGGGCTTCACCTGCAGAAGGTAATTTCCTTCCCTGTGTCTGTCCTGGGGCCGTATGTCCATCCCAGCAGAGCTGCTCACATCCTGCCTTCTGGCTCATGCCCACTTCTGCTGTCCCTAGTGTGGCAGGACCACGGAGCTGGTGAGGGCAGAAGTGTGTGCTGGCAAAGCTCTGCTGTGTCTGGGCCCCCTTCTCCCCCCAGCCTGGCCCAGGGGGCTCGTGTCTTAGGGTCTCTATTTGTAAAACTTGGTAGGACTGGTTAGGTTAGTTTAAACCAGCCTCTCTAGTTCTAGATGCTGAGACAGCAGCTAAAATACATTCTTAAAAGGCTGCTGCTTCCTTCCCTGGGTTTGTTTTACTGCTGTAAAAGGAGGCTGTGAGAGCCCCGCGCTGCGCTGGGGCTGAGCTGGGCAGGGAGGGGCAGCCAGGGGAGGGCAGCCAGGGCAACCTGCAGAGCCTGAACAGCTGCTCCTGAGCCTGTGCTTCCATAGTTTATTAATGAAAAAGCTCCCAGGGGCTGTGCCTCACCCCAGGTTTACCCAGGTGCTGAGGCTCTCTGGCCCCTTTGCTGATGCACCCCCTGAGCTCCAAGCCCGGGCTGGGTCAGGGTAAGCAGGATTGCACCAGCCCTTCCTGGGGGATTTACTCTCTGTCTGGCCCAGGTGGGCACCCCGGGTGCAGTGGTGCTGAGGTGCTGGGCTGTGCCAGGCAGCTCGGAGACAGGGTGTCCCCTGCTTGTCACCAGGGCCGCGCTGGGATAAACAGCAGAGCTTTCCAGAATATCTTTGTCCAGACCTCAATTCCCTTGTTGGTGTGCCCATTTGGGGAGCTTGTAACTGCTCTTATATATATATATATATGTATTTATATATATACATTTATAAATAGAAATGTATGTAACGTCCTAAACTCCTCGGGGAAGGGCAGCCCGGGCAGGGGAGGCAGCGCCGGGGCGGGGGGGCTGGGGCGGCACCGCAGCCTGTGCCTCGTCACCCTCCGGCTGCTCTCACCCTCATCCCGGGCTCCAGGAGATTCCCAGGCATTTATTTTCCATGGTTGCCTTCAGTCCCTCTTTGGGAAGGCTCCTTTTGGATCCTGTCATGCTCTGACCACGTTTTCCGTGTGCATGCTGGTGACCTGGCTGCTTTGTCTCTGTTTGTTGCTGGTTTTTGCCCTTTGGACCCTGGCTGGGTTTGCTGGGTGCCAGGGCAGTGTCACAGGGTGGGGGGGACACCTGTGCTGGGGACAGGAGGGGACCCTCCACTGGGGGCAGGGGGGCGTGAGGAGTCAGGAGCCAGTCCCAGTGACACAGGGACCCTCTCTCTGGGAGGCTGCACCCCACAGAGAGCTCCCCAAAACCATGGCAGCGGGGATGGGGCGTTTGGCAGTGACCTGTGCTGGGGTGAAGGTGTTGGTGAAGCTTTGGCAGCCCTGGCTGGTGCTGGAATGTCTGGCTGACAAAGGATGAAGCTCAGTGTTAAGTATGACCTTAAGAAATAAACCAGTTTGAAATGGGGAGGGAAAGGCAGAGCAGAGCTTGTGGAGAAAAGAGCCCCCTAAATGTTGTTTGGTGGGACATGTGCTGCTTGTAGGTTTGAGAAGTTTATTATGAAAAAAACCACAAAGGTTTGGGCCACTTGACTTGGTCATTGGAGGGCAGGGGTGTGATGAGGGGGGTGTGAGGGGAGCTGGGGACCCCAGGAATGGGCTGACTCCTTGGCCAAGTGTCTCCTGCACTTGCAAAGAACCCTGTGGTGTTTCCAGCATCTCCAGTATGTTCTCCTGACTCTTTTCTTTGTAAATGTGTGTTTTTCAGAGGTGATCTCAGCCCTGCTGCCTGGACAGAGCACCGAGATGCAGCCTGTGCCCCTGCACAGCCTTTCCGAGTTGGAAAGAGCCAGTCTGCAAGAGATTGCCCTCTACCAGCTGCAGGAGAAGCTGCTGGTTGGGGATCTCAGCCTGGAGAAAGGTAGAGGATGGGGCAGGATGGTTGGGGAGGGCTGGGCTGTTATTGCTCCATCCTCCTTCTCCCACACTTCACAACTTGGGATGATGTTCATGGGAAGACATTTATGACACGTTTTGGTGCATTTTATTTTCTGTTCCCTGCTTTGGTCTGAGCCTCAAAGGCCTCATCAGCCTTTTAAGGAGGGTTTGTGTGTCCACAGGAGTGTGAGAATGTGACCTTGCCTGTTGTCTGCCCTGATCCCCCTAATCCAAACCAGCTGCAATGTGGCTTGGCAAGGCCTCCCAGTGGGACTGTCTTAATGCCTATGGGATGGGACAAACTTTGCTTTGGACTGATGTCCAGCACACAGCCCTGATGCTGGGATGGGCCTCCTGCAAGGCTAGGAGACGTGCTACTGAAGTTAATGGGTGGATAAATATAGAAGCTCCACTGGGACTGAGCTCCTCTGCACAGACCCAGCCCTTGCCTGGGTTCCTGGAGCTGCCTGTGTCCCCCCAGCTGCTCTGCAGAGCTCAGCAGACCAGCACCCAGCTGGGGCCTCACTGACCCCTGCCAGCTTCACTCCTGGTTCAGAGGGAGCTCAGGGTCCCCAGCACCAGCCTGGGCTGGAGCACAGGAGTTCTGTTGCCCTTTTGTTTCCTCATGAGTGGTTTTTGTCTCCAGGTTTTTCTGCCTGCTCTGGTCATTTGAAGGCAATAGCTCAGTCACTGGTGTTGGCTGCTCCTCTGTGCACATGTTGCTCATACCAACGTTCATAGCTCCCTGCTAGATCACATGGAATAACCCAAACAATGGTACAAACCGTGTCTAGGAAGAGAATTCCTTAGGAATAAGGAGCACGAGCCAGAACAGGATGATCTGTCCTGGATTTAGGATGGGCAGTGGAATTTTCAGTTCATTGCTGCACCAAGATGTGGTGGCTGCTGCCCTGACGTTCAGGGAATACCCAGGAGGGCCCTGACTCCCTTAAGCCAGGCTGGGATTCCTGGCTGTGTGTGTTCTGACCACAGCTGCATTTGTCTGTGCTCTCCAAAACAGTCACCAAAGCTTTTCTGGGGCTGTATTCCTTTTTCCCAGAACTGAGACTAGACATCTGAGGATGAATGAAGGTCATTTTCTGAGTCACTAATTAATTGTTAGGACACCATGAGTAACACAGAGCCATGTCTAGCACAGCCATGGGACTCAAAGGGGCCCAGCACAGCTATGAGCTGCAGCTGAGGGTTCCCACTGCTCCCTCGTGTCAGGACCCACTTGCTGGTGGCTGCTCTTGGCTCCTCTGGTGGGACATGGCAAGCCAGGAACATCAGCTGCCTCTCTCTTTGACCCTGTTCTGTAGCACCAGCTGCTGGATGGCCTGTATGTCCTGCCTGCAGCTCGGTGGGTCGCTGGGCTGCACAGCTGGTGGGAAGGTGTTGGGGGGCTCTGGTGAAGGAGTTTCATCAGGCTGTGGTCTGAGCTGGGTGGGGTGGTGGGACACCCCAACTCCAGGAACGTGGGTGGGGAGGGTCCCTTCCTCCCTGCAGGATGTTTGTGGCCCATCTCAGGGGGCTTCCCTGAGGGAGCTGATGCACCCTGTGCCACCCCCCTGGCCCTCAGTGTCCCCCTGCCCACCCAGGAGCCCCTGCCTGGGCTCTGAGGCTGCAGGGAGGCAAATGTCTCTATGGAGACACCACCCTGGACCAGCCTGACAATACAGAACCTTTGGTGTCTTCTCTCCAGCAGATGGACCGAAGGGCAGTAAATCCATCCGCCAGAAGCTGGAGAGCTTTTCAAAGGAGAAGAGAGGTGAGCAGCCCCCCTGGCACCGGGGGTTCAGTCCCTGCTCTCCAGGGGAACCAGTGGCTGTTGGTGGGACTGGTGCCCAGACTCAGCCACTTTGTCTCACCTTGGTTTGCTCCTCTCCAGAGTGGGGTTAACGACACGTGCACCAGCACGAGAGGGGCTGGGAGGGTTGAGGACCAAAGGTCTGTGTGCATGAAGGAGCCTCTGGAAAGCTGCACCTGCAGGGATGTTTCTGTCTGCCCGTTCTGCCCCAGTCCCGCTGCTTCAAACCCTGCAGCAAACCGGAGGTTGTGATTTGCTCAGAGCCTTTAGCATCCAGTGTCCCTGGGGATGTCTGGAGCCTCCACAGACACGGGGCAGCAGCTCCGCTTTGTGTTCACCCGGGGTCACTGGGGATCTCCTCCCATCCCGCCCCTCCAGGCACTCCAGGGAGCTGGAGGAGGAGCAGGGGGGAACAGGGCGTTACAGGGCGTTACAGGGCATTACAGGGCATTACAGGGCATTACAGGGCGTTACAGGGCGTTACAGGGCGTTACAGGCTGCCGCGCTGGCTTCCCTCTGGATCTTCCTCCGCACCCAGCGGGGTTTACGCGCTGTCCCTGCACCCTCCCGCTGCCCGTTACCGTTTCTGCCCCGTTTCTCCCCAGACTGCCCCCAGACGTTTGGGATCCCCCTCTCCCAAGTCATCGCCAACGACCGCGTCTCCCGGCAGCTGCGGGGGCCGCGGGGGGGGCGC